TTCATACATACATACATACATACATACACACACACATACATACATACATACATACATACAACATACATACATACATACATACATACATACATATATATATATATATATATATATATATATATATATATATATATATATATATATATATATATATATATATATATATATATATATATTATATATATATATATATATATATATATATATATATATATACGTTTACATATATATGAGGCAACGTCACGCAACGTATCGTAGCTAGAATGACTATGCACTCTCCTCGCGCTCTTTTTGTCCCTGTGGCTTGTGGCCTCCGGAACTTCAGCTTGAATGGAATATGGTACTATGGGATTGATTAACTCGCATAGTGGATGAATACGCGCTTAGATAATAAAGTGCATCAACACATTGCAACCAGCTGTCCAGAATTTGTCCCCGTGTCAACTGTCATATGCGCAATCACCACATAAATAAATATTTCAATCTTTGCTACTCCTACGATTCGTCACAGGAATAAGAATGTTATTACACTTTTGACAGTGAGTCAGCTAATAAATATCTACAGTAGCATAGTGCAATCGGCGTGACCAGCGCAATCTATTTTATCGAAATCGAAATGCCACTATATGTAGAGTGTAGAGTCAGAGCGTATTTAGATTCTGTAGACAGTATATTTGTACATAGTAGGTACATATTGTAAAAACAGATTCGGAATAGAGTACACGGCGGTCAGCCACTAAGCCGCTCACTCTTCTGATTTCTCTCCCTCTACTAGGCTCTAATCAGTAATGTCTAATCCCCCGGAATTTTTGGAAATGTGTTGAAAAGTGTGAATTTATTTCTACGGAGGTTAATTTTATAAACTTTCGCTCTTTCGACCAATGGAGTGGTGATTAAAAAACCACCTATTTATGTTAAATGTGTGGCGACCCTCAGTCTCTGTTGTGGGTGTGTGTGGCTGACCTGTGTGGCGCTTGGACTACTGGCGCCTCTATTTATGCTGAGAGTTATTTATTTACCAACAAATCCAACCTGAGTTAACCCCACCGCCCGCCTGCCCCCCAATGTCGGCCGGACCCACAAGTCCCCAGACCAGGACCCGCTTTCGCAATCGGAATCGGCTCGATACAGCATAGCAGTATTTACGGTCTACAGAGTGAGAGTATCCGTATTTTAATTAATAATAGCTCAAGAAACACTCACACAGGGGGAGCCAAATTTCAAGCGATTTCTGCAATTTGTCTCAGTAGTGATTTCATAGAGCGCTAAAGTCAAAGTGTGCGGAGTTGAGGACCTGCCCGTCTACAGTACTAAACGAAAATAGTAATCTGGAACTCTGCGGCAAAGGTGTGAGACTGAGAGTTTGGCTTATATTGTGGGAGGGAAGTTGGGTGCGTATATTATTGTGCGTCTACCGAAGCGTGGCTTGCATTTTTCGTACAACGAGTTTCCCAAGTGTGGTAGTGTCAGAAAGTACAGACAACATGGTGTCCAAAGCTAATCTCACCAGAGCCATCAAAGGTACTCGCTATAGTGTTATATGCGTCGCACTAAATGCTTCACACTGCATCCAACTGCTATGGTTTGCGTTGGTGTTTTGCTGATTTGATATATTTCTAGATCCACTTCTGTTTCAACTTGGCACGCCCATGCGACTACTAATCGAACCCGTATCGCCCAAGTCTGTCACTACTATCCAAACCCATCGAAGACCTTTTCTATATAATTGTTTCTGTATGCATCGCCTTGTACACTTAGGGCTTCTTGCTTCTACTCTGGTTCTGGTTCTGGTTCTGGCTCTGGTTCCCTTGCTGTGTTGAACTCACTAGAGCTATTTTTAGACCCACTCCTTTTGTCAACTTGGCACACTGTTCAACACCAATATTGCTCATTCTTCGATGACTACACGTTGATTCCTCTTAGTTATATAAGCTCACGCCAGCTGACGCTTCCTCGCGTGGTTAGTTAGTAGTATTTCTGATGCAGCTTGATCGGCAACAGCTTACCTGTTGCTGTATTACTCATTTCCGTATTACTACTATTTATAAAATTATCACTATTCTGTGCCACAGATGCGCTTGTCGGAGTTGATCTTGCCATCACAGGCAGGAGAGCTATCAGGGAGAAGGTCGAGCGAGCCCTAGGTAAGTGCGTCAGATCAAGAATAACGCACACACACGTGTACACAACCACACAGACACACACGTACACACACATACACACACACACACACACACACACACATATATATATATATATACATACATACATACATACATACATACATACATACATACATACATACACACACACACACACACACACACATATA